CGGAGTGGTTACAGAGACTGAGAGCAAGAGTAAAGAGGGAGGGGTTACAGAGAGTGAGAGGAAGAGTAAAGAGGGAGGGGTTACAGAGGTGAGAGCAAAAGTAAAGAGGAGGGGTTACAGAGGTGAGAGCAAAAGTAAAGGGGAGGGGTTACAGAGGACATTTAAATAATGAGAGCAAGAGTGAAGCAGGAGGGTTTACAGAGGATGAGAGCAAGAGTAAAGGGAGGGGTTACAGAGAATGAGAGGAAGAGTAAAGAGGGAGGGTTACAGAGAATGAGAGGAAGAGTAAAGAGGGAGGGGTTACAGAGAGTGAGAGCAAAAGTAAATTCAGGGGTTACAGAGGTGAGAGCAAGAGTGAAGAGGGAGGGGTTACAGAGGTGAGAGCAAGAAGGAAGAGGAGGGTTACAGAGAGTGAGAGCAAGAGTAAAGAGGGAGTGGTTACAGAGAGTGAGAGCAAAAGTAAAGACGGAGGGGTTACAGAGAGTGAGAGCAACAGTAAAGAGGGAGGGGTTACAGAGAGTGAGAGGAAGAGTAAAGAGGGAGGGGTTACAGAGAGTGAGAGCAAAAGTAAAGAGGGAGGGGTTACAGAGTGAGAGCAAGAGTGAAGGGGAGGGTTACAGAGAGTGAGAGCAAAAGTAAAAAGACGGAGGGTTACAGAGAGTGAGAGCAAAAGTAAAATAGGGAGGGGTTACAGAGTGAGAGCAAGAGTAAAGAGGGAGGGTTACAGAGAGTGAGGAGGAAGTGAAAAGGGAGGGTTACAGAGGTGAGATCAAAAGTAAAAAGGTGGGGTTACAGAGGTGAGAGCAAGAAAAAAAGGGATGGAATGGTTACAGAGGTGAGATAAAAGTAAAGACGGAGGGGTTACAGAGTAAAAAGCAACAGTAAAGAGGGAGGGGTTACAGAGGTGAGAGGAAGAGTAAAGAGGGAGGTTACAGAGATGAGAGAAAAAAGTAAAGACGGAGGGTTACAGAGAGTGAGAGGAAGATTAAAGAGGGAGGGTTACAGAGAGTGAGAGGAAGAGTAAAGGGGAGGGTTACAGAGGTGAGAAAGAGTAAAGGGAGGGGTTACAGAGAGTGAGAGCAAAAGTAAAAGAGGTGGGGTTACAGAGTGAGAGCAAGAGTAAAGAGAATTGGTTACAGAGAGTGAGCAAAAGTAAAGACGGAGGGGTTACAGAGTAAAAGCAACAGTAAAGAGGAGGGGTTACAGAGAGTGAGAGGAAGAGTAAAGAGGAGGGGTTACAGAGATGAGAGCAAAAATTTTTTCTTTCGGAGGGTTACAGAGTGAGAGCAACAGTAAAGAGGAGGGGTTACAGAGTGAGAGGAAGAGTAAAGAAAGGGGTTACAGAGACTGAGAGGAAGAGTAAAGAGGAGGGTTAAAGAGTGAGAGCAAAAAGTAAAGAGGGAGGGGTTACAGAGAGTGAGAGCAAAAAGTAAAGGGAGGGGGTTACAGAGGTGAGCAAAAGTGAAGCAGGGTTAGGGGAGAGCAAGACAGGGAGGGTTACAGAGTGAGAGGAAGAATAAAAGGGGAGGGTTACAGAGAGTGAGAGGAAGAATAAAGGGAGGGGTTACAGAGTGAGAGAAAAAGTTCAAAGAGGAGGGTTAGAGAGTGAGAGGAAGAGTAAAGGGAGGGGTTAAAGAAAGTGAGAGGAAGAGTGAAGAGGGAGGGTTACAGAGAGTGAGAGCAAGAGTAAAGAGGGAGGGGTTACAGAGTGAGAGCAAGCGTGAAGCAGGAGGGGTTACAGAGAGTGAGAGCAAGAGTAAAGAGGGAGTGGTTACAGAGAGTGAGAGCAAAAGTAAAGACGGAGGGGTTACAGAGAGTAAAAGCAACAGTAAAGAGGGAGGGGTTACAGAGAGTGAGAGGAAGAATAAAGAGGGAGGGGTTACAGAGAGTGAGAGCAAGAGTGAAGAGGGAGGGGTTACAGAGAGTGAGAGCAAAAGTAAAGAGGGGTGTTTGAGGAAAGGATAAAGAGAAGGATGGGGATCAAGATCAAAGCATCAGAAGATGTCGATTGAGATTACATTTGAATATTTAAAGATTATAGCAATCAGGGAAGCAAGTAAGAGGAAGGGAGTTCTACTGTCGGGAAGCGCGAGAGGAAAAGCTTCTGCAATAGAAGAGACAGCTATATTTAACTGTTTCGAGAGTGAAAGGGTTGGACTGAAATGCCAACCTAATAGCCCGCTTAAATTCATGCATTTTGGGAACCAGTGACAGTAGCTTTCAGAGGAGTTGCCATAAAAGTATTTGTATAAAAGACAGAGGGAAGTCACAGCAGGTCTGTGAGAAAGTGACTGTAGATGAGGTGCCAGATCAGGACCTATCACATTGCATATCTGTCTCTGGATTTGTCCAGGACGTCGAGATGAACAGCGGGGGTAACAGACCATATATGGCAATAGTATTCAACGCAAGGACAAATGGTAGATTTGTAGATTTGAAGGATAGACTCAGGTGATAAAAAATCTTCTGGCGCTACACGGAGAACCAACTTTCTTTGCGGTAAATGATCGTTGATAAATTTAAATAATTAAACAGTAAAAGAAAATTATCAATAAAAACGAGATAAAATGTTGCGTTCATATCTATATTTTGTTTATATATCAATTATTTATTAATATTAATGAATATTTTACGAAAACAGTTATCGGTTCTTCTAATATCCATATGATATGATCTTTCTTTCTAATCTTTTTTGGAAGTTGTCTGGAACGTCAAGATCCAGATTGCGGTAGAGGAAGACGCCTTCCAAAAGCTAAGCAAAGGATTAAGAAAGAAGAAAATTTCTTTAGAAACAAAGAAAAGAGTACTGAACTGTTATGTAATATCAGTCCTCCTATATGGCAGTGAATGAGGGACATTCTCCTCACAGAGGAAAGAAGCTACTTGAAGCAACAGAAACTAAGAAAATAATACTGAACTGTTATGTAATATCAGTCCTCCTATATGGCAGTGAATGCTGGACAATCTGCTCAGAGATGAAGAAGAGACTTGAAGCAATAGAAACAAAAAAAAAAAGTGCTGAAATATATAAATATCAGTCCTCCTATATGGCAGTGAATGCTGGACAATCTGCTCAGAGATGAAGAAGAGACTTGAAGCAATAGAAACAAAGAAAAGAGTGCTGAAATGTATGTAATATCAGTCCTCCTATATGGCAGTGAATGCTGGATAATCTGCTCATAAATGAAAAAGAGACTTGAAGCTACAGAAAGAAACGAGTACTGAACTGTTATGTAATATCAGCCCTCCTATATGGAAGTGAATGAGAGACAGTCGAGATGCCAGGTCAGGACCTATCACATTGCATATCCGTCTTTGGATTTTGTCAAGAACCTCGAGATGAACAACGGGGGAGCCAGACCATATATGGCAACGGTATTCAATACGAGGACGAATGGTAGATTTGTAGATTTGAAGAATGGACTCCGGTGAGAAAAACATTCTGGCTCGACACAGAGAACCAACACCACTCCATCATGTGACACAAGGACAGTTTAATGTGGGAAATCTGGGCTACTTCCAAAAATAATTATATAACCGTCGGCAGTGCTTTCATTGGTATTACTACCAATCTGCCGTCTTTAGTGCAATGAGGGAGGTATTGACGAGGGCAGCTGTTCCCCGAAACCGAGCAGCTGTCAATCATATTTTCAGTTGCTCTTTGACCGAAAACAATGACAAAACAGAGACACAATTGCGAGGTAGTTTGTCCGCCAATAAATGAATGAAAACATAATCCGACAAGCAAAGGCTGCTCGGTCAATATAATGCTGAATAATACCTTATAAGGAAACGGTCCATATTACCATTTTCATTAGGTGGAGCAGAACAGATTACACAGCTTTTATTTGTCGTTCGACGCTGGCAGGATGTGACACAAAGCCAATTTGATGTAGGAAGCCCAAGCGTATGCATCCGGGTCAGGTCCAAAAATAACCCAGCTCCTGGAATCATCGGTTGCGCTGGTAATATAACTACAACCTTTTAGTGCTATGAGGGATGGACCTCGGCGGGTTGCCTTTCCCCGGAAGCGCCCACCCATCAATATTTTTCAGTTGCGCTCTGGCCGTAGTTCGTAAAAAGAAATTCCAAGTCTTGGAATGGCCTAGTCAAAGTCCTGATCTAAACCCAATTAAAAATCTGTGATTCAAGTGAAAGAATTCAGTGCATGCAAGAAACGCAGGTGAAATCGTGCAATTGTGGGTGTTTTTTCCAAAAAGAAAGGCCCAAAATCGGCATTCACGACTGCCAGAAACTTCTTAAAAATTATAAAAAAAATGACTGGCTGACATTGTAATGTCAAAAGTAGCAGTCACCAAATATCAAATGCAAGTGTTCACTTACTTTTGAACATCTTAATTTTTAATTAATATTTTTATTCCAGCTTGACAGAATTTTTTTTTAATGTGTCTGTAATTGATTTAATGAAGGCTTTTCTTTATGAATATCTAGTTTAATTAAGATTAGTTGATAATCTCGAAATAGAGTCAATTTTTAAAAAATATTATCTTAGAGGTTCACTTACTTTTGCACATCACTGTATGGGGCCCATTACTAAAGATGCTGAAAACATGGCCGATTTCTGTAGCGTTCCAGTAAGTACCTGATTCCTCCTGCTATGCTTTATCTTTACAAGAGTAAGACCAGACCAAAAATGAGAGTGTTACAGCCATATCAGGTGCATCTATTTTTATTAATATTATCCTGATATTTAGCAGTTCAGTACGGATCTGTTCCTTTCTGAAAATATAATGATCACCCAGTTTTAATGATCACCCAGTTTTAGAATCGTAAAATAATATTTTATCACTATTTTATAATTAACAATTTCGTTTTAATTGTTCTGGTGAGCTTTCCTCTTTAGAACAGACTTTACGAATTTAAGCACAGTACTAGATTGGCAGATATGTCTCATCATTTTACAGATGAAATATAACCGTAAGTTCTATGCTGACAATTTCTGTTGAACTTCTTGCCGGTGGAAATCTCTTCCGGCTCAACGACCAAATCACATTGACACACCAGTTCCCGTACGAACACCGAAGTTGAGCAACGTCGAGCCTGGTCAGTACCTAGATGGGTAACCGTTTGGGAATACCAGGTTTAGTTTGAATGTGCAAGTGTTGTAATGGATAATAAATTGAAATCGAAGAGTCGAGTTTCAATTGTACTTGGATTCATTATATTTATACGTGCAAATACCCTAGGGTAAGATATGAATCCACCTCTTTTCCCCTGGCTATGGGTTAAATAATGGGAGTTGTGTTAGTAAATAATTAACTGTTTTCCACCCTATAGTCCGTTTCTCACAGACGAAACCAGAGTCGCAAGCCTCAATGATCGGATAATCATTAATTAATTTCCATGGGAAATATTCCTTAATTCCACTAGTTCACAGTTAAAACATGTCATGTATATAGGTAAGAACCAATCAGAGTAACTAGATATTCCATTAGTTAGGAGGAAGTCTTACTCGGACAGCTTCATCGAAAGAATCCCTACATTGTGGGGAAAAAACCCAGAGGCTGATTTCTGGAACTCTACAAGCTTAACTGTTGTGACCAAGGAATTGGTTAAGAAATAACAAAACAAGAGGTTGCAGATATTGAAAAGTAAATAAAACAGAAGTATGTTACACGACTTGGGAGTGTCTGTCGGTTGACCAACGTTCAGTCTCTATCACTGTTAATATTTAATAGCGCCCTCCACATCGAGGGTAAATGTGGCACAAGACCGAGTTTAACGTGGGTCGTCCGAGTACTTAGCCTCGGCCAAAATTCTCCGTAGAACCCGCATAAACGGGTTCGGGTCTGTCTACCTCCCCGGGCAGAACTCCTTCGGCATAGCCTCGTCTAGGTTCCTCTCTGCCCAAGGCAGAGAGTTCGACAGGAGCTGCAAACAGCCTCAGTAGAACAGTCTATACCACCGTTATATTTAACGCCCCTCCCCCCCACACACATACACACGTGGGTCGTATGTGGTGCAAGTTTATTGTGGGCTCTCCGAACCCCTAGGTTCGGCCAAAAATATTCCCTTCGAACCCGGGTTCCTGTCTGCCGAGGCGGAGAGTTTGACAGTTGAACAGTTTATATCACCGTTATATTTAACGCCCCCCCCCCCCCACCCACACGTGGGTTCTCCAAGCCCGTAGGCTCGACCAAAAAAGATTCCCTTTGAACCCCTATAGACGGTTTCAGGGCCTGTCTACCTCCCCGGACGAAACTTTGCCCTTCAGCAAAGCCTTGTCCGGGTTCCTTTCTGCAGGGACAGATGTTCGACAGCAATGAACAGGCGAAGGTACCGTTCTCCCGAGGCTTACTTTTCCTACTAACTTTATAGTAAGTGGAAGAGTCCACAATAGCCTCATTAGAAGAAAGACACCACAACATTAATTTATTTAATTTTAGGGTTAACTATTATCTCCGTTACATATCCTGCAATTATTACTTCCCGCTCATATAATATTCAATAACTCTCAACCATGGATTACTCTTGGGTCTTGTATTGGGTGAATATTAGTAAAACCAATATAAGTATATAAAAAAATAAAAGCAGAAAGAAGAAATAATGCAGTTAGTAAATAAGAAAAAAAAAGTCCAACGATAAAAACACTTGTTTTCTACTCAACGTGAAAATCTAATATTTTTTTTTCTCTTCAATTAAATCTTCGTTTAATATGTTCGAACATTTTCCGAATGTGATTTTCCATGTACTGCCTGTTTTCTGTTCACACTTAACTCATGTCAAGTGAGACGTATACACGTGTCTGATTAGGCTTGCACACAAGGCGTGATACGCCTTTGAGCATTAGGAAGTATTCTTCTATATTTTTTTGTATTCGTCAGTTTCTATGTTCATCTTCTAAGTTATAATGAATTAAGAACTTCACATGATATACAATTTTTGATACTATTACATGTGAAAGACACCGATAAAAATATATTTTAGAGAGACAACACCAGCAATAAAATCCCCTGGAACTTGGCGATTCAAATAGCAATGTTCATATTAATCGTTGCCTTATACGGAAACATTCGGCATTCATTGGCCCACAGCCAATGACACAGTGAGTTGAAAATTCATAAAATATATGAGGGATGGACACAGGCGAGAAAAACATTCTCTCTTTACACGGAGAACCAACTTTCCTTGTGGTAAATGATCGTTGATAAATTTAAAAGATTAAACAACAGTAGACCTTCAGAGGAGTTGCCATAAAAATATTTGTATAAAAGACAGAGGGAAGCCACAGCAGGTCTGTGAGAAAGTGACTGTAGAGGGGATGCCAGATCAGGACCTATCACATTGCATATCCGTCTCTGGATTTGTCCAGGACGTCGAGATCAACAGCGGGGGTAACAGACCATATATGGCAACAGTATTCAACGCAAGGACGAATGGTAGATTTGTAGATTTGAAGGATAGACTCAGGTGATAAAAAATCTTCTGGCGTTACACGGAGAACCAACTTCCTTGTAATAATTGATCGTTGATAAATTTAAAAGATTAAACAATAAAATAAAATTATCAATAAAAACGAGATAAAATGTTGCGTTCATATCTATATTTTGTTTATATATCAATTATTTATTAATATTAATGAATATTTTACGAAAACAGTTATCGGTTCTTCTAATATCCATATGATATGATCTTTCTTTCTAATCTTTTTTGGAAGTTGTCTGGAACGTCAAAATCCAGATTGCGGTAGAGGAAGACGCCTTCCAAAAGCTAAGCAAAGGATTAAGAAAGAAGAAAATTTCTTTAGAAACAAAGAAAAGAGTACTGAACTGTTATGTAATATCAGTCCTCCTATATGGCAGTGAATGAGGGACATTCTCCTCACAGAGGAAAGAAGCTACTTGAAGCAACAGAAACTAAGAAAATAATACTGAAGTGTTATGTAATATCAGTCCGCCTATATGGCAGTGAATACTGGACAATCTGCTCAGAGATGAAGAAGAGACTTGAAGCAATAGAAACAAAGAAAAGAGTGCTGAAATGTATGTAATATCAGTCCTCCTATATGGCAGTGAATGCTGGACAATCTGCTCAGAGATGAAGAAGAGACTTGAAGCAATAGAAACAAAGAAAATAATGCTGAACTGTTATGTAATATCAGTCCTCCTATATGGCAGTGAATGGGGGACATTCTCTTCACAGATGAAGAAGAGACTTGAAGCAATAGAAACAAAGAAAAGAGTGCTGAAATGTATGTAATATCAGTCCTCCTATATGGCAGTGAATGGGGGACATTCTCTTCACAGATGAAGAAGAGACTTGAAGCAACAGAAACAAAGAAAATAATGCTGAACTGTTATGTAATATCAGTCCTCCTATATGGCAGTGAATGAGGGACATTCTCTTCACAGATGAAGAAGAGACTTGAAGCAACAGAAACAAAGAAATAGTGCTGGACTCATTTAAAATACATCCTTCCATATGGTATTGAACGCTGGACAATCTCCTAACAGATGAAGAAGTGACTTGAAGCAACAGAAACGTGGTTCCAGGGAAGAATACTGAACACCCAATGGATTGAAACTATGAGCAACGTCGAAGTTTTAGTAAAATGGAAATGAAAAGAACACATACGTCAAATCAGAAAAAGATAGTTGAATTCTGTAGGATGCATAATGAGCAAAGAAGGCTTGGAAAATTTGACACTCACAGGGTTTATTGAAGTCAAGTGGGACAGAGCAAATCAGCGTATAACCTCCCTCCCAAACACACATATATATATATGGTTTAAAAACAGGGATTAGAAAAGGCAGCAGAAAAATAAAACATACTAAGAACTACAAAGAACAAGAAGTTGTGGATCACCCGCTTCCAGAAGCCCAAAAGCACATAGAAGAAGACTATACTGTGAACGACATGCGCAGTGTGTCATAAGACCTACTGAAACCGGCTCTGATTTCACCTTTTACATGTAAGCCCACGAGCAAGTGGAACAGAGTTTACAAAACAAGCCAGGACATGTACAGAACAACTTTGTTGCTGGTGCCAAAACCATTTTAAGTCACTTGCTGACTTCAAAAACCATTGGCACTCTCACGAGAATTGAAGCCATTGCTGAAGCTTGTCAGCGATGGACATACTTGTTTAACGAGTCGACATCTATCTATCTATCTATCTATCTATCTATCTATCTATCTATCTATCTATCTATCTGTGCGTGTGTCTGTGAGCTCCCACGTGTCTGAATAGACAGCTGCATGTTATTTATCGTGAGGATTTCTTATTCAGCATTTCTTGCTCGTTCTTTTCATCAAGCGTTTTCGTAAATTTGTGAAAATTCCATGATGAAAATGACTGGCAACGGGACGAAATAAAGTGAAATCCTCTCGTGCAAGATGTGCGTGACAATAGTATCGTCGGTTAGATCTTGAATACTAATCGAGAAATTCTGTTTTTCGGAGAGCAGGTTCTGGTTTTGATTATTCAATTTGTAAGTATGCAAGAAACAGAAAGCGAGCAAGCAAGAAATAAAAGGTGTGCAAAAAAGAGAAAGAAAGAAAGAAAACAGAGAGACAGAAAGAAAGAAAAAAGGTGCCATAAAGATAAAGTAAGAAAGAAAGAAAAAGTGTGCAAGAAAGAAAGAACTAAAAAAAATTATCTGGAAGATAAAGAAAGAAAGAAAGAAAGAAAAAGTCTGCAAGAAAAAAGAAAAAAGAAAGAAAGAAAAAGTTTGCAAGAAAGAGAAAGAAAGATTGAAAGAAGGAAAGAAAGAAAGAAAAAGTTAAAAACAAAAAAAGAAAAAAAAAACAGAAAAAGTCTGCAAGAAAGAAAAATTTAAGAAAAGAAGGAAAGAAAAATCTAAAAACAAAATCAAGAAAGAGAAAGAAAGAAGGAAAGAAAGAAAGAAGGAAAGAAAAAAGAGGAAGGAAGGAAAGAAAGAAAAAGTCTGCAAGAAAGATGGAAAGAACGAAAGAAAGAAAAACGGTTGCAAGAAAGAAGGAAAAGAAAGAAAGAAAGAAAAACGGTTGCAAGAAAGAGAAAGAAAGAAAGAAAAAGTCTGCAAGAAAGATTGAAAGAACGAACGAAAAAAAAAACAGTTTGCAAGAAAAAAAAAAAGAAAAAGAAAAAGAAAAAAAATGTGT